ACACCGATGCACGGCATCGGGAGCAAGCCGCCCACTTTGGCATTGTCATATTTTTTCTCATCTAGGCGTGGCAGTTTCACATTTTTAAAATATGCTCTTTCTGCAGTCAAGATAACAATAATAAATACTCAACATCCAGTTAGACTTAATAAGTGCAGTTTGGTTATGTTTAGGAAGCAAAAATACTTTTAAAACTAGGTTTAGGAAAACATCGTAAGTTACATTCCGTACCTGATGAGTCTACATTGACTTTTGGCTTCACACATGACTTAAACAGCCGTCTCCCAGGTGTAAGTCCTGTGTTTCCACTTAAGCCTCTTCCCAAAACAGACTTTGTGACACGTGAGTACATTTCACATCTAAGCGACACAATGCAGCACTAACATGGTGTCCTGTAGTGCCCTTCATGGCCCTTCCTCCAGCTCCACAACATGATGTAAAAAAATACAATTTAATCCTTCCTGCAAGATAATAATAATATTTTTTTTAAATATAATTTTTTTTTCTAGTTTTTTTTTTTATTAATTTAAAATACCCAAACTACCCAATAAAAAAAAGAAATGCAAAATAATGGCAAAGGTGACTGCAAATGTGCGGAAAGGATTGATAAGAAGAGAACAGGTTTCAGGGTTTTATTTGTCATTTGGCTATGAACAACAAATCATATACAAGGATGATATAAAAATCTATATAAACTGCTTTGCAGTTGTTTTTGTTAAGTATGATGTTAGTAATGGAAATATTTTCTGAATATTACTTTCTTGTAGTACTTTGACGTTGAAGTGGCCATCTCATGAGATGACAATACTGGCAGTGACCCCAAGCCAATTTGAATTTGAGACCCCTGCTCTAGTGTATGACAGAGGTTATACACACTTTGGCGTCTGGGCTGGGTTTAGCAGTATGATTACCTACAATGGCAATGCAATGGGATGTCAAGTAGGAATAACTGCAAACACATTGGAGGTTGAAAATGTGTTATCAGGATGATTGTGTTTGGCATTTGTTTGTGTGACACTGGGTCCCAGACAGGTTGGTCATGAGTGGTAAGATGCCCTACTGGTTGAAGGTCATTTTTAAATCTTGATCTCCTGTGTGAAATGAAGGTAGACCGCTGTGAGTCATGGTTGGTTGAACATTGGGCAGGCATGCTGTCTTCAAAGTCCACAATGTTTGACTTCATTGATTAATCTTACCTACACATTACAGATGGTGTATGAGTAAATGTGTGTGTGTGTGTGCATGCATGTGTGTTTGTAGAGAATGCCCATATGGATGTGACTATCTTTTTGTGTCCTAAGAGATGAAGTTCAAAGACTCATGGGTTCATGGTGGAAACTTTAATCCTGAGTTAATCCCAGTTCACTCCAGTGACCTCTGATTCCAATCTTTCCTACACACGGACCTACAGATTGTCCACATTTGTACATGGGTGAACCACATGAAAGAGAACTCTTTGAACTTTCATGTCATTAAATCAGATTTACAAGCACATACACCGATCAGCCATAACATTCTGACCACCTGGGCACCCTGGTGGTCATAATGTTCTGCAGCCCCATACCAACAAACTGTGATGCACTGTGTTCTGACACCTTTCTATCATAA